ACACCTAATCATCACGTAGTGTCTCGGCACGATGAACTGTAGCAACGGTGCATACTCAGGGAGAACACTTGTACCTTGAAATTTAGTGAGGGATCATCTTATAATGCTACCACCGTACTAAGAAAAATAAGATGCATAAAAGATAAACATCACATGCAATCAAAATATGTGACATGATATGGCCATCATCATCTTGTGCCTTTGATCTCCATCTTCAAAGCACCATCATGATCTCCATCGTCACCGGCGACACCTTGATCTCCATTGTAGCGTCGTTGTCGTCTCGCCAACTATTGCGTCTATGACTATCGCTACCGCTTAGTGATAAAGTAAAGCAATTACATGGAGATTGCATTTCATACAATATAGCGACAACCATATGGCTCCTGCCAGTTGCCGATTACTGTTACAAAACATGATCATCTCATACAACAATTTATATCTCATCACGTCTTGACCATACCACATCACAACATGCCCTGCAAAAACAAGTTAGACGTCCTCTACTTTGTTGTTGCAAGTTTTATGTGGCTACTACGGGCTTCTAGCAAGAACCGTTATTACCTATGCATCAAAAACCACAATTATTTTTCATAAAATGTGCTATTTTAACCATCAATAAGGACCTTCCATAGTCAAACTCGATTCAACTAAAGTTGGAGAAATAGACACCCGCTAGCCACCTGTGTGCAAAGCACGTCGGTAGAACGAGTCTCGTGAACGCGGTTATGTAATGTCGGTTTGGGCCGCTTCATCCAACAATACCACCGAATCAAAGTAAGACGTTGGTGGTAAGTAGTATGACTATTATTGCCCACAACTCTTTGTGTTCTACTTGTGCATATAATCTACGCATAGACCTGGCTTTGATACCACTATTGGGTAACGTGGCATGCAATTTCAAAAAAATTCCTACGATCATGCAAGATCTATCTAGGAGATGCATAGCAATGAGACAGGAAGAGTGTGTCCACGCACCCTCATAGACCGAAAGTGGAAGCATTATGTTAACGCAGTTGATGTAGTCGAACGTCTTCCCGATCCAACCGATCCAAGTACCAAACGTACGACACCTCCGTGTTCTACACACGTTCAACTCGATGACGTCCCTCGAGCTCTTGATCTAGTAGAGGGTCGAGGGCGAGTTCCGACAGAACAACGGCATGGTGACAGTGATGGTGATGTGATCTGCGCAGGGCTTTGCCTAAGCACTATGACAATATGACCGGAGGAGTAAACTGTGGAGGGGGGCACCGCACACGGCTAAGAGATTTCTTGGTGTGCCTTGGGGTGCCCCCCGCCCCCGTATATAAAGGAGGGGAGGAGGAGGCCAGCGGCCTTGGAGGGGTGCGCCAAGGCGGGAGTCCTACTTGGACTCCTAGTCCAAGTAGGATTCACCCCCCCCCCCTTTTCCTTTCTCCACCGGAGGGAATAGGAAGGAGAGGAGCGGGAAAGGGAAAGGGGGGCCGTGCTCCCACCCCTTGTCCAATTCAGATTGGGCAAGGGGGAATGTGCCATCTCCCGTGCGGCCCTCCTCTCTCTCCACTAAGGCCCAATAAGGCCCAATAACCCCTCGGTACCCCAATAAAATATCCGAATCACTGGGAACCATTCCGATGTCCGAATATAACCTTCCAATATATGAATCTTTACCTCTCGACTATTTTGAGACTCGTCGTCATCTCTGTGATCTCATACAAGACTCCAAACAAACTTCGGTCACCAAAACAGATAACTCATAATACAAATCATCATCGAACGTTAAGCGTGCGAACCCTACGGGTTTGAGAACTATGTATACATGACTGAGATACATCTCCAGTCAATAACCAATAGTGGAACCTGGATACTTATATTGTCTCCTACATATTCTATGAAGATCTTTATCGGTCAAACCGCATAACAACATACGTCATTCCCTTTGTCATCGGCATGTTACTTGCCCGAGATTCGATCGTCGGTATCATCGTACATAGTTCAATCTCGTTACTGGTAAGTCTCTTTACTCGTTTCGTAATGCATCATATCGTAAGTAACTCATTAGTCACACTGCTTGCAAGGCTTATAGTGATGAGTATTACCGAGAGGGCCCAGAGATACTCTCTGATACTCGGAGTGACAAATCCTAATCTCGATCTAAGCCAACTCAACAAACACCTTTGGGGACACCTGTAGATCATCTTTATAATCACCCAGTTATGTTGTGACATTTGATAGCACACAAGGTGTTCCACTGGTATTTGGGAGTTGCATAATCTCATAGTCAGAGGAATATGTATAAGTCATGAAGGAACCAATAGCAATAAAACTAAACGATCATTATGCTAAGCTAACGGATGGGTCTTGTCCATCACATCATTCTCTAATGATGTGATCCCGTTCATCAAATGACAACACATGTCTATGGTCAAGAAACTTAACCATCTTTGATTAACGAGCTAGTCAAGTAGAGGCATACTAGGGACACTCTGTTTGTATATGTATTCACACACGTACTAAGTTTCTGGGTAATACAATTCTAGCATGAATAATAAATATTTATCATGATGTAAGGAAATATAAATAACAACTTTATTATTGCCTCTAGGGCATATTTCCTTCAGAGAGCATCTCGGGCTCAATAGAGTGGCTGAGGAGAGCTAGTGGAGTGTGGTGAGGGTGATGGATTGCTCCAGAGGTGAGGGGAGTAGCTATAAATAGCCGGGGTGAGGGTCATGGACTCGAGTGCTGCCAAGGGCGCGCTGGCCAGCTCCGGTGATGGACAGATGCATCACGCGGGGGGTGAGGTAGCAATGAAGAGGAGCAGACAAGCTTCATGGGGCAAAAGGTGTCGAGGGGCACAGGGAAGAAGCGGCCAAGCGTCAGTAAAGCATGTCGGATACTGCTCACCCACGGGCGCGCAGTGGTGAGTGCCGATGAGGAAGTTAACAGAGGGGGCAAGAGCACAGGGCGACACAGTCAATCACGAGGAAGCTGCTGGACATGGCTAGGAGGTGAGACGGCAAGGGAACGGACGAGCACAACGCCGAGGTCTTGACATAGCGCGTTTAATGCATGCTAGGGCGGTGGTCACCACGTGCACACGATGCTTACCCATGCTTTGATCGGCCAAACCCTGTCTGGGAGACGAGGCGTGCAGAGGGTGATGCCAAGGAGGAGAGAAACAAGCATAGTGATCCCTGGTGTGATCACAGATATTAAGAATACAAAGGAATAGCAAGGTGTTTGGAGTTTGCTGTGGAGCAGATACTTGGAGACGAAGGATGAGCTTTGACTGGGTTTGATCACACACTAAGGTGATTAAGATGGCAAGGTTTCATCTCAAGAAGAGGAGTTTAGATAACACTTGCTGTAGAAATTGCTCTACTGACCAGATTTGGAAATGAGGAAGTGGCACTCACATAAATGATTGTCTTAAGAGAAATTTGGTGTAGATGAGTAATTTGGGCATATGAGAGTGCCATAAAAATTTCATGCCATTTGGGCAAGCCAAAATGGTATTTCCTTCATACAACACCTCTCTGGATAGAAACTTGGGAAAATCCCGAGGGAAAATTGCTGAATGGAATGAGCCCAAATCTTGTGGAGATAGGTTATATGGATAGGAGAAGGTCCTGGAATTTTTTTAGCAATAATGGAGCCATATAAAATATACTTGCTTCACAAACTGAAAATTTGGACAGAAACAAATATTTGAAGTTGTGCTCACATGGATGATTTGATGGAGCTAAAAATTGGAGGAATGTGATTATATGAGACATGAAGGAGTGTGCAAAATTTCAACTCATTTTGATAAATCTAGTTAGTACTTCCTTCACAATGGCTTCTATCTGACAGAAACTTTGAAAAATTGTTCAGGAATATTTACTAGGAAAATGAAGTTGATTCTTTGCATGAGGCAATTTTGGACATGAAAAGGTTTCCAAAAAGTTTGGGGTCAATTGGGAAAAGGTAAATGGCACTTGCTTCACAAACTGCCATCAAGGACAAAATAGGAAAGGAATTAATTGAGAATTATTTTTGAACATGGCAAGGAAAAGTTTTGCCATATTTGAGTAAGTGATACGCCTTCAACATATCTATAAATTTTCATTGTTCCATGTTGTTATATTATCAATCTTGGATGTTTTATAATCATTTTATATCATTTTTTGGTACTAACCTATTGACATAGTGTCAAGTGCCAGTTGCTGTTTTTTGCATCTCTACTCCTAATGGAGCAGTTGGTGAATAGTCTGCGCGGTTTATTTTCACTGGTTTTTTTCATCATCCTCCCACCTCTGTTTTATTTTCGTCATCCTCCCACCTCCGTTAACTCGCTACCCTCCTACGAAAAAAACGGTGCCAAAAAAACCCTACGATCGATCTCTCGTGCCCACAGCAGATCGTTCTCCACCGCCAACCAGCTCTATGCACTCGCGATCCACCCCTTCGCCCCCGCCGCGACCGATCCATCCCTGTGACGTGGCAGATCCTAACCCCGGGGCTTCCTCCTCCGCCACCATCCTGTTCCCTTCGCTCCCATCTGTCGCCTCTATCAAGATCGGAGACCTCCGACTTCTGGGCCGCTGCCGCCGTTGCCGCAGAACCCCAGGACAAGGCAGGGTGTGGTCGCGTTGCGGGCAGTGAGAAGCGGCGCATGGCCGTGCCCTGCATCTGGTTCCTCTACGCTCCCCTCAATCCCCTTCATCGCCTCCAACATACAATCTCGCCGCCATGGGATCGCCGCCGAGCCAAGGTACGAGATTGCCTCCATCGCGTTCCTTGCCTGGCCACGCCCCTCCCAATTTCTTCCCCTAACCTAGCTATGGTTCTCACCCGCTGCCGCTTCCCTGCTGTTACACCGCCACCCGATGCCCTCCACGAACAGCATCACCATGATGGCGGAAGGAAGAGCAAGAGGGGGTCATCGAGGCTGGGTGCCGCCGTGAGGATGCTGGAGTCCATGCACGGTGATGGTATTGTGGCGAAAGAAGGTCATCTTCCTGGGGAGCCACGCGATGGCCGCCGTCTCCACCCACGGCCGTGCCAACAAGACAGGTACACCGCCGTGCCCTCGACAATTTCCCTACTCCCGTGCAACTATGGTCAAGCCTGTATGGCTTATCTTGCCCCATACGGCCTTGGCAGATCTCGCTGAGATGGACTCCGCTAGAAATTCCTCTATGAATTTGGAACATATAAAAGGGATTTAACTTTTAAGAAGCATAGAATGTTGTGCTATTATGCATTGCCATGATTTGGTCCGGGTGAAGTAATATATTGGGATATTTGTGGAGGAGATTATATTGCTTCTTCTTATATTGGAACAATTGAGAGGAGCAAGGTTAGTAATATCAACACCTGACCACACACTAGGCTGTGGCGAGAGTTTGTGTATATCTCTTTGGTGTCAACCTCATGTGCGTGCTAGCCACGTTCTGCCGTTGCGGGCACCCTATTTGCCTTGGTATGATCGATGGAAGCACTTGGGTGATGTTCTGGTGATAAAAATGCTGAAGGTACTTGATTTCTTACCAGGTTATATGCGGTTCTTACCTAGCCGGCATGGTGATGATTTCTTCTCTTTGCTTTTCAGTTATTATACTGGCCGATACATCTATCTATTGGGAGGTTGTTTTGCTATCAATTGGGATCCTGGGTTTAGGGTCTTTTCATGCTTGGTAAAAATGTCTAAACTGTTTGAACCATTTAGGCGTTAACAGTTCAGGAGAATAATGATTCTTTCAGTTTTCTATTTCTTCACGAATTCACTGTCTGTTAACAGTTCAGGAGAAAGCCGTAAACAAATTACTTAGTTTTTAACCCAGCTGACATGTTCCTACTTTATATAATGAAGTATAGTTATAAAGAAGGAGGTTTCACAGACCATTTCAGCCATAGATATATCAACTATGTTGAATTGGTATCCTAGTGTTATATTTTAGAGAAAGTGGAAGAAAAGAAAGAAATATAAATACACTAACTTACAAATCGTGTCACCAAATCGAGTGCAAGATGTTAGCGTTGGTTACTATATATTAATGAACCATACCTGTGTGTAACATACTTATACATTTTTCTGTTTCCTTCCAGGATAAAGGCAAGTGTTCTATTTGTGCATTGTGATGGCAATTTTCTTGGATAACAGACGAAGCGATATTGGAGGAGTACACGGGTGGGATGACAGATGATAAACTTGATACGGGTGTGTTGTTGACTGTCATCCAACCGACGTGCCTAGACAGGCTACATATTGGCATGATGGACTTCTATGGTAAAAGGACATTATGCAGCATGTAAATGTGACTTCTTCATCTCTGTTGTCCTTGATGACATGTTTATCTTGCCTGATAGAGAGAACGACAGTGATTATTTTGTTCTTCCCTCGCTTGTATTGCAGGGTTTTCGTAGGAACATAATTCAGTGTCCGCTAATGTACTGAAAAAAACATATTTGTTCTTCTTGCTTGTCACCAAGCAGGTATTCTTACGTGGCTCCAATCAAATCACCGATGTATGGATTCACTTAAATCACTTGTATTATCTGTAGGAGGCTGTAATTAACCATATAAAGTTCTTGCTGATTATAAAATGTATGCTTCTTTTTACTACAATATAAAACATGTATTTTTCTCGGTTATTTGTGGGGCACCATCTACAAGTGTATGTAAACATGTTAATGAACTCAAGTTAATTGATGTGGACTCAAGTGTCCTCATAGAAGGAACTAACTCTCCAAATTAGGTAAAGAACATGGCTGGTCATCTGTTTGCAAAATGTTTGCAAAATTTGAGTTGTTGCATGCTACTTGCGTGTATGAAAGAGTTAATGCAATTCACAATATGTTAATACTCCATTTTTGAGTACAGATAACCATTTCAGGGGCATGCCTAACCGTGCCTAGGACAATATCTGAAACTTACTCATAATATGCCTAACTATGTGCCAAACTAATATGATAACATGTTCTACTCATATAGTTTTGTTTTTCATTTGGGCTGTGTGGATCCTATATTTGAGGCTTTAAGTTTCAGCTACGTACAAAATAACACTAATTTTTTCTTTATATTTTGTTAATTTGCCTTTCTATGATTTCTTAATAGTTGTTGAGAATTCTTTCTTACACACTTCACACTTTTCAGGGAAACAAAGACTTAAGTGATGTTACTCATGTTATAGTAGATGAAGTACATGAACGCACTATTTTGGTATGTACTTGCTCGTGTATGTTTTTTCTTTATGTGCTACAAAATGTCTTGTTTCTCCCTATATGATAGATGAAGCACATGGTTAATCCTGATTCGCCCCTTTCAGAGCAACTTTTTGCTGATTGTTCTTAAGAGTCTTGTTGAAAACGCTCTAATCAACCAGGAAGAAAGCTGAAAGTGATTCTCATGTAGTGTCCATTCTCTTATATATTATTGCATAGACTTATGACTTGAATCAGAAATTTTGATTTCTGTTGTAATTTCGTAAGTAGTTAAACGGGAGACTTTTGTTGTAAATTGGCCAGATAAAAAAACGGTTTTGCTAATTTACAGTCGAGTGATTTACAATTGGTTTTCATTCAAATTTTTTGGCCGTTTGATCTCATGCTTAGATCCGCGCTGGGAGCTGGCTTTTCCTTGTGATTTTTTTCTCTCTGTTACTGGGTGCGCTTTTGTTTCCCAGCTAGCCCGTTACTGTCCATCCCTTGGGCCCTGGCTCTCTCTTTATCTTTTTTTATTTTGATTCTTGTCCTTTCGCATTTCCTGCGAGAGTTGAAGCTGAGAAAGGGAGCCGATTCTTGGCGATTTCCTCGTCATCCATGGTGATTCCGATCTCCTCCTCCTCCTCTTCAGCTTGATTTCCGTTCCAGTGTCGGGTGATTTCAGTTGGTTATCCTGGTCTTCTCCCTTTCCCCCTTGAATTTCGTTTAGGTCTTTTGGTTTGATTTGATTCCCCTTGTATTTGATTTAGATGTAGGTGTATGTTAGTCGTAGAGGTGGATTTTCCTGGCGACTTTTTTGCAGTTACAGTGGTAGTAGCATGGATGTAGCGATGAATCCGATTCCCCTGTTGGTTTTCTTTCTGCTAACCTGGGCATTGGATTCTGCTGGCCTTTTTTGCTGTTAGATGCAGGGGTGTGTGTTTGTAGGTAGTAGTTGCATCTAAGTTACATCAATAACTGTTCAATTTCAGTGGAATTTCCACTCAAATCACAGAGTAGTGACACTGCAATTTCCAGAGTTAACCACAATGCAATTTTTGCTGTAACTTCTGTGATTTTTAGTTTACAGCCACCGCAATTACAATGTAATTTACGAGTATTATAGTTCTATTTTTAGTGTATTTTTAGGTTAATTACACTAGATTACAATGAAATTTTCAATGCAATTAAAGTACTTTTTGGTGGTGGTGGTGGGGGGGGGTGCCTATGTTGGGTCTCCAAGCATTCTAGAACCTTTTTCTTTGTGGTTTGTCTTTGTTGGGTAGTATTTGTATCAATCTTATAACCCTTTTTTTCTATGTTTTCTGTAGTGTTGCATCTAAGTCTACAGCAGCTCCAAGATTGTAATCTCATTTTAGTTACAGTGTAATTTCCTCTGAAATTACAGAGTAATCATAGTGTTCTTACAGTGTATTTGTAATTGCAGTGTAATTTTCATGGTAAGTACACTGTAAATCCCACTACTATGTTACTGTAATTACAGTGCAATTTTTCTATAATTTACAGTGTTGTTATAGTGTAATTTCCATGGGTAATCACAGTGCATTTTTACTAGAATATTTACATTATTTACAGTCAGTGCAATTACATGTAAATACAGTGTAATTTCAGTAAAATTACAATGGTCATTAGACTGTAAATCACAATGTCTATGTTAGGTAGTGTTGCATCTATTCACGCTGTCAATATATACTGAATCTATCTTTGTGTCAGAAACCTTGTTGTGCACATGTGCTTGTCTTGATAATAGTAATTTCAGTATTTTTTGTTGCTACTGTAAATTTTAGTTTCTTTTGCCCTGGTGCTTTTGAAACAAAACATACCAGTTTCCTTGATTTTAACTAGAGTGCTCTGTGCAATACACTCTGTCAAATGGAAAGAATTTGTGATCTCTAATTTTATTTCTTGTAATTTTACATGTTCTAGATCTCAAAGAAATTCACGATGCATGAGCAAAGACATTGTAATTGAAGGATTTCCACCCTGTGGATCATCTCTTGTATGATCTTGCATGGTTCTCCCCCAATTAGTAGTCGTGACTTTGGCGTTTGTCTTTGCCCCAATTGGAATTGAAGGATTTCTAACTCCATGGTTCTTTGTTTGTGTTTGTCTTTGCCCTTTCTTTTTATTTCTCATTTCCTCCATGTAAGTACTTTAATTTTTCCTTTCTTGTTTGGTGTTTATCTTTACCATTTCTTTTTTATATCTCATTTCTTATATATAGATTTTCTTTATATTATTCTGCCTTGTTGCAGTTGTGCTTCCCTGTAACCATTCAAAAGCATTGGTTTTTCTTTCTTCGTTTGCTTTCCTAGATCTAGCTTTCTATGAGCTGTCTGAATTTCACTTGCAGATTAGGATGATGGAAATTCAGAATTGATTCTAATTTCTTATTTGATCCCTTTTTACAGACTGTGAATTAACAATGGTGGAGAAGGCTTTTTTGCTTGAGAGAGATGTTGAACTTCTTTTTTCTCACTATGGATAGGGCAGTGTGTATGTTGGTTCAGTGTGTAGTCATCTATAGAAGAGTCAGTGTGTATGTTGGTTCAGCTGTGTCTCTATAATCCGTAGATGACATGAGGTACTATACTTGCATGGTTTTCTTACTATAATTTCAAGGTTTTTCACCTGCTTGTCATGAATGCAAGTGTGTCTAGCCCAACCGACATACATACATACATAACAACTCATGACTTGGGGCTGCAAACTCATGACTTGTGACTTGGTTCAGCTTTGTCTTTGAGATTCTGACAAGTTCTGGTCATAATATCATTAATAATCACACAATAATTTTAGAAGTTCCAGTGCTAATTTGACTAAGTTTTGTGTATATAGACTTTAACTCTTAAGATATCACTATAAGTAGACTGCAAGTTACCGACAAACTGTAATGGCAGTCTAATTATCACTATAATTTTCTTCCCAATGCTGTAAGTGGACTGTACGTTGATCCCAGACCTAGAGAGGGTACGTTGATGGAACAGTAGGCTGTGGATCAGAGAGGGTACGTTGATGGTCCAGTTCCAACCCGATTAGGATTGGCCTTTTACCGTTGACATGCATAGAGTGGAGATACACTAAAAAGGGACACACAAATACATACAAGTGTCGTTCTATTATTGATTGAAAGACTTGACTGATGTCCAATTGATTTTCAGTCAAACATCAAATAGACACTCAATCTTTAGAAGGCTGCCTCATGCTTGAAGGTATGAACCAATATCTATTCTTTCAAAGTTTTTCTCTTTTAACCATGAAGTGCAATAGTGTAGATGAGCGATCTTACGAAACTCTAGATCACCACATTTCTCAGAGAAATCCCCAGCTTAAAAATCTTGCTACTGGTATGCATCCACCACCCAATCCTCATTCTGAATTTGAGAAGAAATTGATTTAACATCTGCTCTAATGTTCTTTGTAACGTCGTAGTACTTCATGTGTTATGAAATTGTGAAACACCAGATGTCTTCATATGAAAAAATATAATGAAAGCTATAAAAGTTATTTTTAGTTATATGGATTAGCTAATGTCAACTATAAATGCAGGTGTCTCGATGGTGAAAACTATTATAACAAAATATGTGAAGATATTTGCTGTCTGGATGAACAATATAACTCCATAGCCCACTATAAATTAATCATCTTATAAGGTACAACTTAATTAAGATGTCGTCAATAACCACTACTATTTTTATTCGGTTGCATCATTTGTTACCTAATAGAATGATAGAAATAGAGGTTTGCCAGTCCAAAAGAAGGATATGAACACAGAGTAGCTAAAGTAGAGGCATAGAACTGCCAATTATTGTCACGACCCGATTTTTCCAGACATTGATTTCCAGAAAATGGCCGTCGTGCTCACCAGCCTAAGGATTACTGTTAGCTGATGAGGCACCAACTTGATACAGAAATTCCAAGCAAAAATACAAAATATGTAGTACAAGACCATTCTGGCCTGTGAGTACAACAATTGGGTTTCTAGTGGTCGATGGCGGAAGCGGTTTGTGTGTCGTCAGTGTCTATGAGACTCCATTTCCCACAGGAACAGCTGACCAGGTCAACTCCTATCTTCGTGAGGCTGCTATCACCATTGCTTAGTTTCCGGGGCTGTCACCGCAACGCTCCTCTCCAAGCAGAAATCTGGCCAAGACAATAGCCAGGGACAAGCCAGTGAGTACTTTGAATGTACTCGCAAACATTATGAACACTGGGATAATATAATTGATAATCATGCACTGAAAAATTCTATGATCACATCATCAGTCATAAATAAAACATCTTTTATGCATGCAAGCAGGTTGTTTATATGCAACATGAATAAGCAATAACGGAGTGGGGAATAAAATGCCGCAGTCGGGCGTCTGAACAACACCACCTAAAGGGCTTATAAAGTAAATAAATAACAAGCAATGCCACAGTCGGGTGTCTCAGTGACACCACATAAAGGGCTTATAAAATAAATAAATAACAAGCAATGCCACAGTCGGGCGTTTCAGTGACACCACATGAAGGGCTTATAAAATAAATAAATAAATAACAAGCAATGCCACAGTCGGGCGTCTCAGCGACACCACATAAAGGGCTTATAAAACAAATAATCACAATGAATATCCAGGAGGTAGAACCGTCCCAGGGATACTCAATGATATAATGGGTTAGTCCAAAATAATAATAACCATAATCTTCACAAGTCACAATCCAAGTTCTGGTTTTATCAATTTTCTCCTCCGAAGACCGACACTAAGACCAACCCTTGACCCATCCCAGACTGTAGTCCTTAACCATGGACACGGCTATTCGAATAGGTTTAATCTCTGCAGAGGGTGTACTCTTTACCCATGAGTAACGGATTCCTTTAGTCCATCGGGACTAATTCCGTCTACGGCCTTTTAGTTGAAAACACGCCCAACTTCCACACACCAGCTTAACTCATCGGTGTCTGGAATCACCCACGACACTTGTTAAGCAAAACTCTTAGTGGGGAGGCTACAACCTCGCGTAGCATGGGATCAAATTTATATCGCGCGCTCTAAGGGGTGGCCTCCCCTCTCGATCCCAACCGGAAACACCCATGCCCCCTGACTAGGTGGCATGCCTACCGGCTACAACCGACATCTTCCACCATGGCGTCTCTGTACGGTGTGTGCTGGAAAAGGGGTTGACGACTTAT